GTCCAGTTACAAACCTCTCTCAGCCTTTCCATGCTCTGCTTGTCCACACCTCGGCGCCTTCCCATCCCGTGGCTCTTTCTGCCCAGACGCTCTCTTCAGGGAGTTTCAGAAGGGTCCCTGGAATCTCAGGGCAGGCGACGGCCATCATCCCTGTTACGGGCTCCTACGTAGAAATCAGCGCCTGGCCTCCCAGCGGGCGTGAAATGGAAACACTACACTCTCGCTCCTCGTCAGAGTCCAGAGAACTTGTTTTCAGGGTCAGAAAGTAAAGCTGCAGAAGAAGGCGGGTGGAAAGACATTAAGCCCCCTCCCCCCAGTCAGGCCTCCCTCTGGAACGGCCCAGTGCTGTCGGGGTCTCACGTGCTAAGACCTGACCTGGGATCTGGAGCAGAGAACTGGGTGCGGGGAAGTCCGAGGAAGCAAGGGGCCCGGACCTCTGATCCACGTTAGTATCATACGTGTATCATGACTATGCAACAACACGGAAAATGCTCGAGGTGCAACATTACAGGGAGCCTGAAGGACACGAAATTGCAGCCACACTGATTACAACGGAGTGAAAAGTGTGCCACCCTGATCGGGAATGAGAGCGTCAACAAATGAAATCGCTTTTGGTTGTAGGGATAGTGGCACTGTGGGTGATTTTTATTTTTTGGTCCTTGATTTAGGGTGCTGTTAGTTGTACTATACTATTATTTGTATGTTTAAAAGGTTAATGTTTTATGGGAAAACACATCAACTTGTACACTTATAATGGGTCTATTTTATTGTATGTAAATGATATATTTTTAAGAGTAAAAAAAATGTTTTAAAAGACTGGCCCAAAGTAAGCTGGGATGAAGACAGTACCTTTACCATCTCCCTACCTGCCTTGTCTCCCCCTTCGCCTACATTCAGCAAGACACCTGGAGAAACCACTGTCCAGCCTTATTGTGCAGTTGTGGCTGCTGGGAATCCCATGAGTGGCTCTTCTCTGAAGCTCACATCACTTGTCAGACTATTCCAGAATGCCCTTCACCTCCCCTGCTGTGTCTTGGCTCCCCAAACAACAGCGGCTGTTTGTCCAACACCACCTTCCCCAAGAGCTCTGCCCTTTGCTAAGGAACTAATAACGGAATCTGCACTGATGTGCCTGTGCATGGTATAGGGTTATTGCTGACCCCTCTCAGATAACACTTCTGCTTTTCAAGTTGGGGATTCTGCTTTAATAGGCTGCATTAAAGGAAGTATGATGTTCCAAATAATGGAGGTGATAGTTGGAGGAATGGAATCTAGACTTTCCTAACACAAGGGATGTTACTGAGCTGGGCACATAGTTAAGGCTGGGAGGAAGGGCAGGGAATGTACAAATCTGGGTGGGAGTTCATTTCAGCTAAATAACCTGAACTATTTTTGCTTTATTTTAGGGCCCACCCAGGCTCATACCTTTCTTGGAAAGAATACACTGGACGAGCAGCTATGGCCAGAGGTGAGAGTTTTGTCCTCATTGGAGGGGTAGTGAGGTCTCTTCCAGTGGGAAAATCCAAGTCTTAATTCAAGTTGGCAGATCCCATACATGAGGGAATGGGCTGGATGAGCTGCTTCCCCAGGGATAGCCTGGCTGCCCGGCAGGACAGGCAGCATGACTATATCCCCTGGAACCTGGGGCTCAGCACTCCTGAAGACTGAGCAGGTGGTTCCCAGGAGTGTCCAGAGGGAGTTATAAATGGACTGTTATCTCCATGAACCTTGAAGCAGATGCCGTGAGCTATCTGAAGGCATCTGGGTAAGGTCTTCCTAGAACATCCACAAGATAAGAGCTGAGAGTAAATGCTTTATCTCCTACTGCAATCAGCAATTCAGGAGGAATTAACTGGTGTCTTATAATAGTGAGAGATCTGGTCAAGGAACTCATTAACTGCACTGTTCCCCCTGTTGGAGTACAGTGAGTCCTCGCTTAATGTTGTTGATAGGTTCTTGTAACTGCGGTGAAACAACCTGTAATGAAACCACTTTTTCCATGGCCAACTGCTAGAAACAAGAGTTAAGCTTCTACGGCATCTTATCAATGGTAGAAGTTGAATGAAATGACTTTATTGAAGGACCTGCTGTATTTTCTCTTCTACTCTCAATTCTGGGGAGAAAACATACTATCTCCCTTCCCAAAGCCATTCATGTGAGTAACAGAAGCAAAGGCTGCTCTGGACTCCCGTGAGCATCCTGAGTGGCCTTGAGGACCTGAGCACTGGTCTCCCAGTCCCTCCTCTGCTCTCAGCAGCCCTCTGGGCTTAGGACAGGCCAAACTGGAGATATAAGTCTCCAGTTTCAAGCTTACTCCGTTTCCAGCAGCACATCAACGTACGCTTCCAAATACCTGCTTTTGTGTAAATAATCAAATTAAAAGAGAGGAAGCAGATAGTACAAATAAACATAGCATAAATGGATTTTTAAAATCTTTCCCTCTAGGCACACTGGGTCGCTTCTTATTTTATTTTTTATTGTGGTAAAATGTATATAACATAAAATTTACCAGTTTAACCATTTTGAATGCATAATTCAATGGCATTAAGCACACACACATTGGTGGGCAGTCTTCATTACTGTCCACCTCCAGAATCTGGTCTGCATCCCAAGAATTGCTTTTAATTCTCTCGCCCCCTCCATCTCACAGTGGGGAGGCATCCTTACTTGCCACATGCTAAAATCATTGTCAAAAGACACATGTCCCCTTGTACTAGGTGAACTGGGTATGGGATTAATAAGACCATGACTATGGACAATTGTTGCCTCTGGACCTCGAGCCTAGACAGAACCAGTACATGGCCATTTCTACACCAGGCTCTTGGGACCTGCAGTATTTCCATTCAAGACAGTTGATGTTTCTGATGTCTGGTTTCAGTTGCGGAGCCTGAGGGCTTTTCCATTCCCGTGCAAACCAAAGAAGTCAGAATCCAATGTGCCAGCTATGTCAGGTATGTGACCCCTGAGCCCTGACTCTGGTGTGGTCAGCAGAGGCTCCCGCCCTACTTCTCTTGGACCTTTCACCATTCAAGTCTTTCCTCTTTCCCATCCTAGCCCTTCACAGCTTCTCCTTCCCTCCCTCATTTATTTCTGTGGCTGAACACAGACTGACACACTGGTCAGAGATAAACCCAGTGGCCCCACAGTGGCCTGGCTGATGAGGGCAGCCCCAGGAACGCTCCCCTCCTGGTGGCCAGGTGGGGTTATGGGAGCCGTCACATAAGGAGTCTGTAGGTACAGAAGGAAATCAATGCATTTCTTAGGAAATGGCTTCTTTGGGAGCCCATAACATGACCAGGGAGTATGTCAGTGGTTTCTAGGGAGGCTGAATTCTAAAAATGCTGGTAGCCCAGGTGGGTCAAGGAGGCTTCCTGTTGTACTATTTGCATACAGCTTGCGTCTCATGGTTACGTGTGTTCACGGGCCATAAGCGACCTTCCATAGGACACCTTTTGGAGATCTTGAGTTCAGTTAACAGTGTGGTCTCCAGAGAGGAGCGAGCCTCTTTTGAGCAAGTTCCTAGGGCTCCCAGCAACCACCTGGCCTTCAGCTCTCCACTCCCATAGCCAGAGACCCAGCCTCAGCACCTGTCCTCTGCCTGGACAGCATGGGCCTGCCCCTCCCGTTTGGCGTCCTGGGCCCATATTGCGGGGAATGTAGACCTGACCTTCTGACCTGGATTCTTATCTTCACAGTCCACACTCTGAAGCCTTCTGATATTAAATTTGTGGCAGCCATTGGCAATGTGAAGTCTGTGAGTATTTCAAAGGGGGTGGCGGTGGGAGGTTTACCGCTGGGAGAGCTGTGAAAGGGGAGATGGGAATAAACGAGAAAAGAGGTTTCATGTCACGGATAGTGTGTTGACTTGGCTGAGCCCGTGTGTCCCTGCGTGCCTATGGTCACAGTCCCGAGCCCGGAATGTGTGGCATGTGTGGAGGACTCGTAGTCTTCCACTTTGGGCAGGAAATTCACTGCAGGAAGGTCTCCACTGCAAGTCAGGTTTCCGATCTTTGGTCCCAGCTCTGAAAGAGCTCCTCACTCTTGAATTATTCAGTCCCCCAGCTCCTGCCTATCACTCAGCCCATCCTTTCTCCTGTGAGCCCCAGGTCCCGCGCTAGAAACCAGCTTCAGTCCAGGGTGGTCTCCCAGCCCAGACTCATTTTCATCACACTGACAGCCCCTCCGCCTTCAGAATGACACTTGGAAGCCCAGCTCGGAGGAGGCCGCCTTCCTCTGTATGCAGGGGGAGCCGGCTGCTGTGAGCTTAGCCCGGTGTACAAAAAGTCAGGCTTGGGAAGAATAAAGCTGAGTTTAAAATGGAAAAAGTCCACAACAGGATGCCGTTTGCCTTGAGTTCCTGGCGCTTTCTGCAACCAAGGCACCCCTGCCTGTGGCAGGAATGAGCCCTGGCTTGTTTAATCGCTCTGGACTCCCTTTTCCTCATAGAACTTTAAATATCAGATTAGTAAATGCTTGTAAAAATTGTTTTCAAATAACACTTGCGATTCATGTTTAATATGAGTAAAACTCAATCTCAGCACATGCATATAGTGTAAAATATTGGAGACCCCATGCACATCTCCTACTCCCCTGCCTCAGGGCACGTGTGAGCGCACATTTGGGGAGGGGGGAGGGAAAGAGGCTGTGTGTGCGTGTGTGCACCTGTGTCTGTGTAACCTGAATGAGGTCTCTTTGTAATAGACTATGTGTGATTGGTTTTTGCTTAGTTAAGTGTCATAGACATTTCTCCATGCCAGAGAGGTTACAACCCACTCTATGAAATTCCGTGAAGTCAGGGCCTGTGTCTGACTTCACTGTGTCTCCAGCGCCATGCATAGGACCTGCCACAAGGCAGGCATCGGGCCCGTGCGAGTGTGGAGAGGCAGTGCCTGGCCACAGGCCCGACGGAGACGCAGGGGTTGGCTGGGTTTGCCCCATTACCGTTCCCATGAGCCCTTCCCCACTCTGAGCCTTGTTCCTCTTGCTCCCCCCCTTCCTTCCTCTCCTCACCTCCCCCCTACCCCCCATCAACCTTGTTCTGAGGAGGAGCTCTGCTTTGGTCCAACACAGCCATCCGCATGCCCTCAGCCCCAGGAGGCCTGCCTCCCTCATGACTGCGCCTGCTGGCATCTTTGTTCATGAGCCCTGACTGGCATTTTAGTGTGATTTTTATTTAACTTGTTACCCTTCCCTGGAAATGTTGCTGTTCACACTCCTCCTTGCTGAGTTGGGGGTAAAGGACTCCATTCCCAGTTAGAGAAATGTCGTGGTCAGCCTGCCCTCCCGGGAGGGCTCCCTCAGAGGGACCCGGTTTTACAGACTGGCTGTCACTTGAGCTGGGTGGGTAGGAAGGACAGCCTTTGGGGGAAGCAGCAGCAGGCTGGGTGTGGGCAGTGTGGGCACAGCTGTCTCCACCATACCTGGAGACACCGTCTTCTAGGAATTAAAATCTCTGAAAATAATAGCACTGACAATAGCTCCCGTGTACTGAGCACTTTCTGTGTGCTGAGCAGGATTCCAAACACCAATAGAGAGGGCCCTGTGTCATCCAGCATTTTACCAAGAGGAAAATCAGAAACTTACTTTGTTCATTCAACAAGTATTTATTGAACAAATATGGACCAAATGCTTATGATGTGTCAGGCGCTGCTCTAGTTCCAAGGAATATAGTCAAGAGCAAACCAGATACAATCCCCTGCCCTCGCTCTCCTGGTGCCTACATGCTCTTCAGGGGAGACAGACAATAAACAAAGTTAATTTTAGAGTATGGACAGCCACAGTCTAACAATCGGTTTTGTTTCTATGTAAAATATTCATAGGACTTTATGACGCATTTAAATCTAAGCTCTCCTGCCCCTGTTCTCGGGTCGGAGGGAACACACACACCTTCTATTTTGCTGAGTTCTGACCCCCCGAAAAGCTGGCACAGGCAATTCAACCTCTCTCCAGATCCATGGTTCCCTTTTAATCAGTGCGAAGGGCTGTCTCACAGGCAGCTGGGGTGTCGGGGACAGGCTCTGCGCCTTCCTGGGCTGGGTTAACACCTGCTATCTTTTCCAGCTTCCAGACTTCAGGATGGTGGGCACTGGGAAGCAGCATCGGTAACTATGTTGGGCTCACAGGGCGGTGAGCTGGGCTGAGCCTTGGAGGATCTGCTCTCCTGGCTTCGCTAATGGGGAATCCCCAGGACCAGGGAGGAAAGGCCTTGCTCCAGGCCCCCTTAGGACAGAACCCAGCCTCCTGCCTCCCTGCCCGACACTCCCTGTGCCTGTGAATCCCATGGGAGAGAAAGCAGGAAAGGCCACACTCGGGATTTTCGCTTCCTACCCCCAACCAGGCTCATTGCTCTGCTCGGGGCAGCGTGCAGGGTGGACCAGGGCCCATCTCATTCTACACCAGGATCCGCAGCCCCTTCCAGCTTTGGGCCAGACTGGAGACATGGGGAGAAGGGCCCAAGTGGAGCTGTGCACCCCATTTGGGTGACTCCACTGCCATCTGAGCTGTGTCTCCAGCTCCAGGAAGGACAATCTAAGAAGCGGAGCCAGGCTGAGCTGAAGCCTGTCAGGAAATAGACAAAGCAGCCAGGGAAGGGGTGTTGGCAGGTGACAAATACAGTCTGACACTTGCATGTTTGCTTCTACCTGCAGGGCAAGAAAAAGGCCACGTGTGACGTGCATGGGAGTGGTGACAGGTGAGTCCTGTGCATTCATGGCCAGATTCCAGGTTGTCCCCATCCCTCCCGACACAGAAGCATTTTGGCAAATGAAGAGAAGGTGCCCTTGCCTGGCCAGTTTAACTCAGTGGTTAGAGCATCGGCCTGTGCACCAAAGGGTCCTGGGTTCGATTCCCAGACGATTCCCGGTCAAGGGCATGTATGTGCCTAGGTCGGAGGCTCGATCCCTGGCCGAGTCAGGGCGCATGCTGGAGGCAACCAATCGATGTGTCTCTCTCACATTGATGTTTCTCTCTCTCTCTCACCCCCTCCCTCCCCTCTACTCTCTCTAAAAAAAGTTAATGGAAAAAATATCCTCTGGTGAGAATTAAAAAAAGTAAAGAGAAGGTACCTCTATTGGTCACTTTGTCTCGGAGCCTGAGGAGAAAAGGGGAGGACAGGCAGGGAACCTGGATATGTAGTCACACACCCTAGAAGAGGGATGTGACACATGTCCCTGAGGGTATCTGAGCAGAGAGAAACCAGGTGGCTGTGGTAGGTTAGAGGACATGGAGGGGGGGGGGTCTGGGCCAGGGTCCTGAGGCTCCTCCCCCAGGACCCCAGAACTGGACCAGTAGCACTTTATTTGGGGAACATCTGCCCACCATTCACCAACCCCCTCAAAGAGAAGACCTGGTCTAATTGTCAGCTTACTTCATTTTGTGATGACTCCCTCACCTATAAATAGATCAGTTGGGTTCAGAAAAGTGAAATGAGAATGAAAATCAACCATATCCCACTACCTGGAGATAATCTTTGTTAATATTTTGGCTATTTTACACATGAATGTGCTTATGATATGCTACCTTTTTTCATTTAACATCAGATACCCCTTATAGGTCATTTGCCCTCACAGACGACCCTGATGCCAGGGAGGAAAAGTGTTCTCCTCCCAGCTCCCCAAACACACACTCACATACACACACACACAAATACACGCTCACATACACTCACACACATTCACACACACATACACACACACACAGGCACACACTCATGCACATGCACACGTGTGCAATCACCTGCACACACATGCACGCGCACACGCATACATACAAACACATGCACACACGCACATGCACGCACATGCACACTCACACACACGCACACTTACACACATGCACACACATACACACACTCACACACACAGGCACACACACCGTCCGCAGTCGTCCTCTGGCCACAGAGCTTTCCGTTTTCTCATCTCGTGAATGGGCTCCTTCTGCAAGCTGGTCAGGGCTTAGAAAAGGACACTCATTAGTCTGGGTTGAGGGTGAAGAAGATTGAGCCACACACGACCTTGGTGGCTGCCCAAGCTGACAAAGCTGAGTGGCCAGTCTCCTGGCTTCGGGAGCAGCTCTCCCACTCCCACCCCTTCCCTGGCCGCCACCTGCACAGTGCTGGCTCCCTCGGAGGGAGCCTTGGAAGCTGCCTTCTGGCTTCTCTCCCACGCAGCCCCCGGCTCTTCTAGGTGGGGGCAGAGAGAAAGGACGACTGAGGGTGAGGGTGGAGGCGTCTCCCTCCCACGACACTCTCCCTGCTCTGCCCTCTCCTCTCTCTGGGAGTAAGACACAACTTGAGTGCCCTTGGCAGCGCTATTTTTAGCGATCCCCTGGCTGTCAGCTCTGGGACATGTTCTGTTCCCAGGAGCTTTCCCACCCTGCTGTCACTCAGGAGGAGAGAGGGGCTGGGAGACAGCCTGCCCGGTCCCTGGCCCAGCGCACTCCCAGCGCGTCCAATGCGCACGACTCCACTTAGCCTGGGGACTTCCTGGAGTTGCTTAGCTTCCCTCGGCCTGTTTCCCCTTCACACATATAAGGTGCTTAGTGCTGGGCCTGCTCTAGCGCTTGACAGATGTTAATTTTTAGCTCCGTTCCCCTGTTCGCTTCCAGGAGCCTGCTATGAGGTCCACCTCACAGCCTAAGGCAGGTGTGAAAGTCATGGTTTGGTTTGGAACAGGGCCAGGGACCCTGGGCACTCACTCCGGAGGGGTCAGTCTCTACAGGTGACCTCCATCTGTCAGAGCCACAGCTCTCAAACCAGCTCTCCCTTTCTTTAGCTTTTTCAGAAATCATCAGACACTTCAATCCCTCTGTTCTGAAGCCTGTGTGCATCCCTGGGAAGGAAGTGGTACCCCAAATTAGTGCTGAGTAAGTCCCTTTCCTGGCTCTCTCGAGGGCTGTGTACTCCTCTTGGTCTCGGGCGCCTGGGCAGGAGGATTTGGGGGAGGGGAGCTGGCAAAGTCAAAGAGGTTTAAAAATAGAGGTCTGTTTTAAGTCAAAGCCGAAGTGCATCTCCTGCGCTGATGTGTGTCTGATGGGCCTAATTTAAAAAACCAGGTCACGGTCTGCCCTCCAGAAGCCAGGGGTGGTGCAGTGTAGCCTTGAACTCAGAGACTGGCTCCTGGGCTGGGCCGAGGGGCAAGCGTCCAGCCCTGGACAAAGTTATGTTTAACTGGTTTTCTCTCTGCTCCCCTCCCTCTCTGCAGAGACTTGTGGATTCAGGCAGAAGAACTGGTGGAGAACATGAAAAACAACCAGGTAAGAACCCGCCCGCGTCTGTTGCGAGGCAGTAGGACCAAACACACCAGGCAGCTGTGGGCACACAGCCACTGTGCCCTGAACTCAGCAACCAGGGTGGCCCGGGTGCTCCCCAAATGCTCTTTCTGGAAGCCATTAAAACACAGGGCCACTTCGTACATGCACAGCGGTGTTCCCTGTGGTCTTGCCAAAAGTCAACAGGTGGACTGCACGACTTCTCACATCGGTGGTTGAAAGCTTGGTTTCAGAGGGAGACCAGTTTAAATGGGAATCCTGAATTTTCTACCTATGTTGGTCAAGGCGCTTAACCTCTCTAAGCCTCAGTTTTTCCACTTATGAAATGGGCATCATAAGAGGCCGTAGCACAGGACCTAGGAAGGATTAAATGAGGTGTTGGACGTACCTGGCACAGAGGCAGTGCTCGGTGAAAGCCCGCAGCTGCCACTGTTGTTGAAGTGGCCGTTGTTGTTATTCATTACCGTGCTCATTTTAGTTCTGAGGCGGAGGCCTCTGTGACATATCTGCCGGGGCCCTGGCAGCCACCTGGCTCTAACCAAGTGCTGAGCCCGAACCGCTGGAACCAAGGGCAGCCGCTGTCTCCGCCAGTCATGGGTTCATTGAAGAGCTCGGGCGTTAAAGCCAGTCATTGCCGGTCACTCACGGGTAGGGACAAAGGCAGGCGAGGCACCATAAGGAGCTGGTTTCCCCCCTAACAAGAGACTGACGGAGTTTCTAGAGTAATCCCAACATTTCGGAAAACAGCTGGGAGGTCTTGACCCCAACCCCACAATGTTGCAGATGAGGAAACTGAAGTCCAAGGAATTCATGTGACCGGTCCAAGTTCACACAGCTGGTTAGAGCTAAAGTCTAAAGTGTTGATTCACCATGCTGCCTCTTTTTGTGTGTTTTTTTAATCTTCACCCAAGGAGATGTTTACTGATTTTTAGAGAGAGGAAGGGAGAGAGAGAGAGAGAGAGAGAAAAACACCGATCAGTTGCCTCCTGTACCTAGATACGTACCCTGACGGGGAATTGAACCCTGAACCTTTTGGTGTACGGGACAAAGCTCTAACCAACTGAGCCACCTGACCAAGGCTCAAGCTACATTTAAAGGGCAAAACAAATGTTTATTTTTTGTTCCACAAGTGACACATGTTTATTATAGAAAAATGAGAAAACTCAGATAAACAAAAAGAATAGTACCCAGAGATAATTGCTGCTGACATCTCAGTATACATCCCCTTCTGTGTTTTTTCCAAGCACATGTGTATACTTTATAAAAGAAGGGTGAGGTTATATGTAGACACTTTTTATAAACTGCTTTTCTAAATATGACATTTTCCATTACAACAATTACATTTTCCAACATCATTTTAATAGCTACATAGTGTTTCATTTTATGAGTGACTCACAGTTTGTGCGGCAATCCCCTATTTTAGATATTTATGTTGTTTTCAGTTTTTTACTCTTATAAACAAAGCTTCATTATTGCAGCTAAATCTTTCATGTATCCTTATTTCCTTAAAATACATTTTGGGAAATGGAATTGTTGGGTAAAAGAGTATGCCCTTAACCTTTTTTTAACTGCATTTTGCCAAACTGTCTTCTGGAGAAGTTACACAATTTGAATTTCCCACCTTATACTTCTTTTTTTGACAAAAAGATTTTAAGTATGATTTTATGGGTGTGGGTATATGAAATTGAAAGATATGAAAAGAAAGTTCTTTTGGTACCAGGTCTTACCACTCTCACTTTTTGGTGCTGTTTCCTTTTTCTTCAGCAACTTGACTTTCAAAATGACTGGAAGCTCATCAATGTGCTCTTCAGTAATGCAAACCTGTGTCACCTGTGTCCCTCCGCCCAACAGGTAAACCACAGGCTGGGGGTCAGAGGAATTGCAAATGCTGGGGTAGGTGCAGAGTGAATGAACTAAACCTGCCTGGTCTACACCTGGGCTGGGCCTGGTGCATCTATTTCAGAGTTTGGATGGACGGACGGATGGACGGATGGATGGATGGGTGGATAGATAGGTGGATGGATGGACGGATGAATATCTAAGGGCTCAAGGAACTATATACAGGGACAGGTGTTTTAACTTACCAGCTTTCATATCAGGTAAAGGAAATTGAGATGCGCATTAGCTGAGTCAGTGATCATTCTGTGACTGAGAAAATTCAGCCTCCTAGTTAAAAATCATTTTGTCTCTTTAACTCTGATTTCATTTAATCACTGAATTTAGGAAATAAAGCAAGACATGTACTCTGTCATCACCTCCTGAACTGCAGTTCACCATGAACTCTGGTTGTAACGGGAAGCCTACTGTTCACGTACGCAGACCATCCTCCAGGCTCAGTAGAGTTCCTGGATGCGGGACACAAAACACGTGGCTTCATGTGTTATTTCTATAGGTGACTATCTAGGACTTCAGTCCTTACTGGAGATGGTCCAGGTTAGGATCAGTTGATCTAGGCTATGATGACATAAATGGCACACTCTCTTCTCCAGGGGCCTGAAGGCTGGTGGCCACCGAGCTGGCCTTGCTATTTATGGTAGTCCAATGACCTGCCCCCTGTCCTCTCAGCCCCTTCTAGAGCCCTGCCAGGCCATGGCACAGGCATGGGTGAAGTTTCCTGAGTTGTTGCCGTCCCCTGTTCTGTCCCCTTCTCCCACGGCATGTACTCTGGCCTTCTTCCAAGTGCCCCACTTTCCCACTGGCTCCTGGCCCAGCACCCACACCCCCTTCCTTTAGTGATGTTGGGCCCTGGGAGAATGCTTGTGGAGGCCCACCTTGCCCGGCCAGCTCTCGTGGGTTTATGGCTTGTAGATCTCGAAGGTTTATTTTTCTACTTCACCCTCTCTTTTCTCCCATGCCAGGTGAAATTCACAGCTCTGTTTATTCTATGCCCCTCTTTTTGCTGATATGCACACCAAAATTTTTTTGCAAATTTACCTGTTCATGCATTAAAGTGCTCAAACAAGCATTTAGGCATTGCTGCATTCCTCTATATCCACCCATCCATAAATTGTCTATTCATGATAAATTCATTTTCTCTTTTTTCATGGAGGCACGTGCTATTGTATGTACGATGAGTTATGTCCATGCTGGCTTTTGTTTGATTTTTTAAATGTTTGAATGCATTCGTGGATGCTTACACTCACTCAGGACTTTTTTCTATACTCTTTTCTCACATTCAAGCATTGCTGTGTGAGTTCCCGCGTTCTTCCATGTATTATGCCCTGAGGCGTTCTTGACTATGTGATGCATGCCTATGTCTGCATGTATCCATTCATTTACTGCTAATAATTTTAGTTAGATCAACAATGCACAAATGTTTTCTTCTTTCAAAAAACTAAAACATTACAGCTAAAGCTAAAATACTACCTCCAGCTCTCTCCCTTTTTATTTCCAAGTTTCTTACATATCTATGAATCCTAGTAGTGTTTTGCGTGTGTGTGTGTGTGTGTGCAAGAGAGAGAGAAAGAGAGAGAGAGACTGATTGAGTTTGAACACAAATAGTATTATATCATGAGCAATTTTTTTCACTAACCAAATGTTTTTGACATCTGGTCATGTGATACACATAGATCAAGTTTATTCCAGTGACTTGCTAACTAGTATCCCACGGTGTAAATTTAGTAAGTTTTATTTTGCCATTTCCCTATTGAAAACCAGTTAGGTATTTCCAGTTTTTCACTCTCATAAAACAAGATAGTTTATGAGCTATCTGAACATGTTGCATTTTTACCTGAACATGTTGCATTTTTCTAAATACAGTGATGTTCAGATTACAGATCGAGATAGATTAGTGGGTCAAAATTAAGTTTAAAGATTGCAACCAAAATTACACAAATAGAAATAAGATAGAATAAAATATAAAATATTAGAGTTGATTGCATGTTGGAAGGTAAGAGCATCTCTGCCTTTCCCTGTGTCATAGGTCAAGTCTCCCAAAGTAGTTCATATGAGAACAGGTGTTTCACTATTAAGAGGAAATGCTAAACCCCTGTCCTGCCCTACTTAGGACCTGGAAATTTTCACCTCTAAGGTGGTTCCTTTGGTGGGAAGTAGATAAGGGCCTGTGTCCACATTTGTTCTTTGGGGATTTCTTAAGACCAGAGTCATAAGAGAGTAAGATCAGGAGCTGTCCATTAGGCAGCAATGCTGATTCTTCAGAGCTGCCATGGTGGGTCCAGCTATTCAAAGGCAGGTGCTGCACAGGTAACTGGTTGACCTGACTCATTGCAGTGAAACAGAGATGCTTCCAGGGTCTGTACTGCTCTCTAGTTAAAGTCTACTTCTGTTGATGAGTAAGATGAAAAAAGTCAGTTAAAAGAAGAGAAAAAAAAATGGAAATAAACCTCAAAGCCAGTGACACTGCAAGAAAATCTACACATGCATTTGTTGCAAATGCCTTTAGAAGCAGGTGTCAACATTTTGGAGATTACAGTGGCAGGATGATTCATGAAACCTGAAAGTGTTTGCATCTTTTGCCTGAATAATTCTACTCCTTGGAATAAATCCCAAGTTTATTAGAAAAAGTTAAATCTTGTCTCAGGCACATGTTTGATCATAGAGATTTCTTCTGACTCTGAGGGCAAAAGATATATATATATAAATGTGTCATTTCATTGGGAAAAAAATAAGCTTTTTCCTCACTTTGGGTTCAAGGGGGAGTTCATTATGTGTTACCTTGTAAACAAGGGACATTTTTACGCGTGTAATGTCTTCCACTAAAGAACAGGGACAGTTGGTGCCTGAGTGGCAAGCATTCGGTACCTGAGTGACTGGCTGGGCCCCACTCACTCTGTGGCCATGAATAAGCACCTTGATGGGGGAGAACCAGGCAGGGATCCCCAGTTTCCCTGTGGAAGATTGATGCCCTGAATGTGGGCAGCGAGTTCCCAAGGCTCTGTAGAAGGAAAAGTGAGACGCTTAAGGTCACATTCAGAGAGAGGTTCACTTAGACTGAAAAAAATGAGACAGTGGGTTTATTGCTGGCTGTGGCTCAGCTGACTCCAGAGGACAGCCTCACACCGAAGCGGGGACTCGGGAGTGGGGACACCGCCCAATGCGGTCTCAGCCTGAGTGATTGGCAGCTGTCTCCAGCATCACTGCTGTTCCCCCAGGAAACAGAACAGCTCCTAGGCCTGCCTTGTCTTCCTGTCTGAGCCAAGTCCCCTCAGGGGACAGCCAGTGTGCAGACAGCTAAGGAGCTTGTCTCGTTGTAAAGTTTATTTTTGTTTGGTGTTGTTTTGGTTTTTGGTTTTTTTACCCTGAAGAGGTAAACCAGGGTATATTTTTGGGGTGCTCTCATTTGTTATTCATTTTCATTACCTGCAAGGCCCTGGGTGGGAAGGGGCTGTCTTCAAACACTGGGGGAGAACAGCCCTCTTCTAACTCGGGGCAAATGCAAATGCGGCTGGGACAGGGCTGATGAAAGAACGGCACATGGAAGTCTTGAGGCCCATCTGGGTCCGTAAGTCCAAGGGGAATTGTGTTCTTCCCTTGGGAGTAAGTCCTGCCTCCTATCCCTCAGTGGGAGCTGTAGAGTTTCCTTGACCTTGAGTTTGTCCTTTCCTGACGTGGAACTTCTCATCTGGGGCAGCTTAAAGTTTTCCTAGGGGAGGATGGGTTGGGGAAGTCAGAATGAACAAAAGCCTGGGGAGCTCTGGGAACTCTACACGTGTTTGTGGGAAACTGGGGTCTAGCAGGGCCTTTGTCACTATCATCTCAGCCGAGGGTGGGGACTGGAGAGGGGAGGGGGCAGGGTGTGTGTGTGAGCCTAGGCATCCTTGGCCCTATGGTCCCTGTCCCCACCTACACTCAGCACATTTCTCCTCTCACAGGACAAGCTGGTGACAGATAACATGAGCAAGCTGACCAGAATGCTGGACTACCTGCTCCAGGAGGTGAGGCTTGCAGCTTCCCCAGCTCCATGGGACCACACCCCTGGAGCTTCCTCACATCTGCCTTCCCCAGACAAGAGAGAGCTGCCTTTCCAAGGGCTGGCAGGGAAGGTTCTGGTTACTCTCAAGTTGCCTTACTGGGTTAAAAAAAGTGTCGTAGTGGGAGACCTCCCCTGAGGGAGATCAGCTCCTCCCTAGGGACTCAATCACCCCACTCTTTCCTGAACAGTGTGGGGCAGTGACGACCTGTGGGGTCCTTGAGAGCCTTCAAGGCTTCCCTCTGTCAAGTGACCTTGATGAGCAAGCACTGCAGGTTCTGAGACTCATGGGGAGGCAGCTTCCCTGTCTCAGAGGGTCTAGAGTCCTGTCACCAACATGGTCCTGCTTTCTTGTTACACCTGGTGGGGGGATGCCCTGCCCACCAGGAGGGATGGTGAATGACATGCCTCTGCATAACCAGCAGGCTGGCAGCTTTGGACCAACCCCAACAAAACTTCTCCCAAAGAGGTCCCTCGTGCTCAACCAGGCCCCAAGCTGGGCTCAAACCAAGGACTCTGTGGATGACCCCTGGCAAGGACGTTGCCTGCAAATGTTTGCAAATGTTCATCTTCTCTCTGTTTCCTTGTAGGTCCCTAAAGTGTTTGTGAACATAGTGGACCTCTCTGAGGCTGTGGGGCACCAAGGGAACGGGCTCAGGTAAAAAGGGAAGTGGGAGGGGACCAGCATTTGTTGAGGGGCTGCCCTTTGCCAGGCACTGGGCGGGGCACTTCACATGTTAATTGGTGAGGGAGACTTAAGGGATGGAGGCCCAGAGACTAAGCAACACGCTTGAGATCACACAGCTCGGGAGGACAACATCGTTCTGGGGACTGAGTCAAAGGAGGAACTGTCCAGTCTGGTGGACTTGGTTGGATGACCTGCCCCCACCAGAATGATCTGAGGGTTTAAAAAGCAGTTTTGGCAAAACATCCGTAAGCCAAGGAGTGATACTTCTAGAAATGGGAAAGAAAAAAAGTTGGCCTAAACGTATTTTATCTTCACTGAATTTGATTCCCATGTAGTTCTGAAATTTGTGATAGAATCTAAACTCCTTGACCCCAGATCCTGAGATTTCTGGCTTTACACCCAGCAAAGAAGTACACGCAGCAAAGGTCAGGGTAGGGACAGCTGGAGGTGGGGGCAATGGAAAGGACGGTGCCCAGAGGAAAGGAGGGTTTGAAGAGAAAGGACACACACAGCAAGGAGAACTGGAGGTGGGCTTCTGGTGTGGAAGGGATGAGGGGCAGCGTATTGGGAGATGGAGCGAGAGGGAGATGTCCCCACATCCCTTCCCCACCCTGGTGGAGGGACAGACGGGGAGCAGATCACAGTGTACCTTTCCACTCTGTTCCCCTCAGTGTGTGCTTGCTTCCTTCTGCACCCCGAGACTTCCAGCTTCTCCTTCCTCAGACCCTGAGCAACGCCCAGGTCCCCTAGCCCCCTCGCTGCTCCATGGGGTGGCCTGAATGGCCCCACTCCATCCATGCTCTCATTTCCGACTTATTTTAACCTGCAGCCTAGAAGCAGAGCCTTGCAAGTGCTCAGAGATGACCTCAAAGCTGCCCAGGACTGTGATGCAGTGGTCCTATCAGGTGAGCCCTCTCCGGGAGACTGGCAGCTTGCAGGGGCGGGGGTCGTGGAGGAGAACAGGGGGGGTAGGGACAATTAGGGTGTAAGTCTGCCACCGTAGGGCTTCTCCAACCGAGTCAGGAAGCAGAGAGAGCTGCTCTCGGTTCACTCCCTGGTGGTGACCTGATGTTCCTATAGGTAAAGCCCGGAAAACAATACGGGCAGGTTGGGGAGGGACAGTGGTGGTACTTTAGATAGTGAAGGACTTTGCAGGTCCCTTCAGAAATGGTTGTGGTCATCATCACGACTTGTACCCCTGCCCTATGGCTGCTGAGGTGGTTCTGCCCAAGGGCAACTCAGAGGTCCCGAAGATATGCTTTCTGGGTTAGAGAAGAAACCCCAAGAGGGCGAGGATGGCTCAGTGGGAGTCACCATCCCTGTCAGCAAACAGCTCAGAGTCCGGCACCTATTGACATGTGTTCACATGAGTATTTTGGTTTAAGAAGAAAGTTATGTATGAAGCCGTGTGGCACTTCTCTCACTCCAGAGGTGACATGTTTTGTATAGTTAATGGCTTACCCTCTCCAGAACTTAGCCTTTGAACAGAGCATGGGCAGGGCCTGGCTGCATCCCTGGCTGGCGTATACTCCAGCTCCCAGGGAACCTATTTCAGATCCATCTCAGACCGAGGGGCTGCTGACAACGCCCTGGTAGGGGGACGGGGCAGGCTGTGCCTCGCCCATGCTCCTGGGTGCACACCTCTCTGCTCTCTTTTTCAGGAAAATTGGGAAGGTCTCCTGAACTCCAGCAAGTACAATCAGGAGGACTCCTTTGCAGTGGTTTTCCAGCCCTTCTTCTACGAGACATCCTCATCACCACACTTGGTGAGTGAGGTGACCGTAAGGAGCCTGGCCCTCCCCCTCTGCCACTCCCGCCCAGTGGGGATCACTGAGCCTGGGATATGCACCCTGGAGGGGGGGGATGCTGCAATACTCTCTTATACTTTCTGGACGATTTCCCCATGGGGTTGGAGAGCTCCTTGAAGCAAGTTCTTAGAGACAGAGTGGCCCAGAGGTAAAGAGCATGGACTTGAGCTCCAGGCTCTGACGTGGGCCAGCTGTGTGATCTTGGGTGAGTTGTTGGAACTCTGCCTCGGTTCCCTCTCTGTGAAATCAGGGCCATCTTTAATATTCCCACCCTCTAGGGTGGTTGTCAGGATCTCATGAGTAAACACATGTGAGGAGCTTGGGGAGCCCTCAGTACCTCTCAGCTACAGTGACTCTTCAGGACAGAATTTTAGGGTACCGCGTCACCCTCCTCCTTCTGCAGGCTCTCTACATCCACCCCTGGGAGGGAGGGGAGTGTGAGTGGCCTTCATTCCCCAGGTCACTGGGCAAACGCCCTTGCCCCAGGGGGGCGCCCAGCCCATGAGCGTGGTGGTGGGTCCGCATGTGCTTGGTAGGGTGTCTCTGACACCACTGAGCTCCAGCACTGTGTGCCTGGGACAGCCCCTCCCTCCAGGCTCCTGGCTCCTGCCTGCTGGGGCCACTGTGCCCCCTCCAGGACTTAACTGATGTTTCAATAGTGGTTTAAAAGGAGGAAGAAGAAGATTCGTTCCCATCCCACCCCCTACTCAGACCACACATGAATCACTTCCTGTCACCACTGCTTCTGCGGTTTGGTTGAGTTGTGGGGAACCTCACGCTGACGAGGGGTGTGACCTGCTCCTGTAGGCCCTCACCTCCCAGCCTCGCCCCAGACAGCGGGCCTGTAGGGGGGCCATGACTGATGTGGAAAGGGGCTGAGAGTCTGGGCAAATCAGGGCCACCCCAGCTCTGCCAGGGTCACCTTCAGAGTGCATGGCAGGTCCACCCCATCCTTGGGGACATGCAGGGGTTCTTACCTGGTTCTCTTTCAGAAGGAGTTGCTACACCAGGATCCCACCACACTCTCAGTCTCCTTGAATCTCTGGAACATCATGGTGAGTTGCGGGGGGCTCTGGGAGGCTGCGGTGCCAGCCTGGGGGTTTGGCCTATAAAAGAGCTGGGGCTCCACTGCCACACCCACTCTGCCTTCTGCTCTGATGGAGGGGCTGCGGGATTCCAGCAGGACCCCGGGACAATGATTCTGGCTGCCAGGGAGCCTTCCCACGTCTGGGGACGGCCTAGCTCTGACCACCCCAGTTTCACCGCCTCACCCCAGAGCTGGGATGCAGCCCTGGCAGCATGCGTGGCTCTCTGGACACCTTCAGTACCGCTCTTCCCAGAGGCCCAGAGTTTCCTCAGAGTCTGTGTGGGAGACTTCACTCAGAGCAGGGCCCTAGGGAACAGCTCAGGCTGCGATTCTAGGCCAGCTTTCCCTCACATGACACTTAAGTGCCATCACGTGGCTTCAAGGCCCCGGGTGGTACCTGGGATGAATGTGGACTTTCAAGTGATGGAGACCTGGGTTCAAATCCTAATGCCATCTCTCACAAGTGGTGTGAATTGAGGGTCTCCACTCCCTTTCTGCAAAATCCAGATCCTAACACCTGACCCAGGACATGTCAAGTGTGTAGCTCACTTCTGCCCACAGCCTGTACTCAGCACATGCGGACACTTCTTACTGTTTTCTGCGGGGCTTCCCCGCACCTCTGAGGCCCCTGGGGCTCCCTGGGATTCGGCAGTGGGTGGAATGAAATGTCAAAACATGAGCCTTTCCCAGGTACCAGGCAGACACCTGATTTAGCCTTTGATATTTTCCCCATGCAAGCGGTCCTATTTTTAGAATTCCAGTGACAGAAACTTGGTTTTCCTCTTCCTTGCATTAGAAAATGTTTTCTCCATCTTTTCGACTAAGTGCTGTGCTGAGTGCCATGGGCAGCTATGTTTCAGCGTGCATTAGCCAGCAAGACAGAGCAGGGGTGGGGGGCACAGGATGGCCCCAGAAGCCCTTGTCAACAGAATCACACTCTCCTTGAAGAAAGCACCTGATTTCTTTGTTATTGGACCTGACCCTGGGGTGGAACATTTCCCGCAGGAAACCATTTGCTGCTGATCTCCTGTGAAGGGCTGAGGACACTAACCTGACCCCTCCTGCAGGGCTGTCCCCCGCAGGGTACCCTCTCTCTGGGGAGAAGGGCTGGTTATTCCAGCTCAGCCAAACCTATCTCCTTCCCCTCTACGTCACCTCTCTCCCAAGTGATGAAAGAGAATCTATCATGTGCCCTGACCTGTCCTGGGTCCAAAGAGGTTTAAAAAACACACACCAAATGGCCTTGGCCTTGGCCTTCGCTGAGCCTGGGTTATAGCTGGAAGGGTCAGGAGACTCGGAGGAACAGAGTGGACTTGAACTCAGCCAGCAGTGATGCGCTGGACTGTGCATCCCAAGGCGACACGGGCAGGAGGGCAGGAGAGCCCCACAGTGGCAGGACTGGAATTGGCTTTGAAGGTGTCAGAGGAGGTCAGGGCGGGCTTTCCAGGCAAGAGACCTTTGTGAGCGAAGGGCATGGGGAAGAAAAAGCCAAATGCATTATCATCAGGAGGCAGTAGAAGCTGGTCTGATAAGACAGGAAACGTGATAAGGAGCCCGGAGAATGAAGCAAGCACTTTGATCGCCAGACAGAGAGACTCTGGAGAGAGCAGGTAGGGAGAAAGGGCTCCCTCTCCCTCCAACTCGCTGTTGAGTGTCACAGCTGGTGGTGGCAGCAGTGGCGACTGCCTTCCTTGAGCCTGTGACGTCCTGTCCATTCAAGCAGGCGCACAGTGCCCTCTAGCCCACTGGAGGGTGAGATCGAGGACAGAGGGTCCCACAATCAAGGCCAAAGAACTGGGGCTCAGTAGATGTCGCAAGGGCCCCAAGGAGGAAGAGGTAGCTTTTCTGGGCGGACAGTTCCCCCATTCTCTCGGACCCGTCTGACCAATCACCAGTCGTTTCCTGGTGAGAGTTCTCAGGGTTCCTGCAGCCAGGCCAGCAAAGAGGGTGGGGTCTCCCCAGGTGTGTCTTTCGGTTGTTTTATTGAGATGAGTCACATGGCCTTTTTGGGTCCCCATTTTCTCTACTTGACAAAGGGGTGTAATGACCCTCACCACACACTTGTACTCGGGTGGCGAGCGACCTGCTCCTGAAAACACCTGGGATCATCCCAACAGAATGAGCCCCCCCCGGACCTGAAGCTGAGCTCCTGGCCTCTTGTACTGGGGATGCGAGTCATTCCCTAGGCTCTTCCCGCCTTCTCCTCAATAACTTCTGATCATTTTAATGCTACCACAGTAGTTTTAAAGAGACCCACCTTTGGGGAACTCGATTCCCAGGTCCTTCCAGCCATCACTGACCCCCACCCTGTGCCGAGCCCTGGGCATGGTGTTAGCGCCACAGGGCAGGACAAGAACACTCAGGAGTTGCTCACAGTGAGCGGGAATTCTCCTTGGAGAGAGTGGCCAAGGTCACTCTCCCACCCTGCAGGCAACGTCAGGGTGGCAGGGAAGCTGAGCAGAGGCCATGGGGGCAGTTAGAGGGCTGGGCAGTGGCGTGAGAGCCCCGCGGACAGCGCTGGGTCCTCCTGGGATGTGCTGCACAGGGTGGCTGGAGGAGGGCCCGGGCGACCATTTGATGGAGGACGTCACTCTCCATCCCCTGAGGAGAGGGGGTCAGAGTGGGTGTAAAGGGGGCTGGTGGGAGCAGGAAGGATGTGGGTGACGGATAGAGAGACATTTAGGACAAGGTTCTTAATGGAAATGCGTTTATTGGAAAAACTTGTGAATTTCCCTTCTTTGAGGCCCTTAAAAAATAGACTCTGCTATATCCATTCTACCAGAATCATTAAGATGGGACTCTTCTGATGTCTCCTTCCAGCCTCTATTATTGATTACATTTTTGAAAGACTGGAGAGAAGTAGGCAGGCCAGATTGGCACCGGGCCGTCCACCCAGGCCCACTTCACCCTCCCTTTCAGAATAAAACGGAAAGAAGGCACCGCAGTTCCTTCTCCAGCCCTGAGCTAAAGGGTTGCCACTCCTTTTCCAAAAGGTTAATTATACCCTCTTATCAGACCCTGTCCATCTGGGGGAAGAGCCAGCCCTGAGAAGGGTAAAGTTCTTTCCTGCTTGTTGCTTAGTGAGCACAGATTCTGGGATAAGATATTCACTAAGAATCTAAAAGCCTCGTGGAGGCTGGCAGAGCATGGGACTGAGCCAGACGGGGTGCTTCATCCTGCGGCCTCCTGTCGCTTGTGTCCCTTGTCAAGGTCCTTGGAGGGAAGGCGAGGGACAAAGGTGTTACAGGAGCCTAGCACCTGTGGAAGCGGGGCTGACAGCAAACGCCAGTGTATCCGTGGTAGAAGATGGTGCAGAACATCCGTGACCTCTCAGGGCCACTATGTTTTTCTTTGAAGTGCTTACATACATATAATGAACATTTTAAAATAACAAAAGGAACTTTATTTATTTTTAAATATATCTTTATTGATTTCAGAGAGAGGAAAGGAAAGGGAGAGAGAGAGATAGAAACATCAATGATGAGAGAGTCGCTGATTGAGCCCACACCCGGGCATGTGCCCTGACCGGGAATCGAACCCCGATCGCCTGGATCCCAGGTCGACGCTCAACCGCTGAGCCACGCCCGGCCGGGCATAAAACAAAAGGAACTTTAAAAATTGCTCCCCCATCAAGTTCTTCAACGGCCTTCATTTCCTCTTTTCCCTCAATGCTCACACCTGCTGGCACCCGGTGCACTTTAATCTAGGTTGTCAGGTAGGCTTTGGGTTATCATTTGAGGAGCTGCCTGTGTCAGAGCCGATGCCACCAGCACTCGTTCCTGACTCGATAGACGTAGGAAGCAATGCGATTCACTGAGAGACATCCGTTTGAATCGAGGATCCCGATGTCCTAGTCCCAGCCCAGCCTCCCTGGCATTCAGTTTCTCCTGTGATATCAGGAGGGGTGGGCCCGGAATCAGTGGGCCTCAGCGTGAGCGGGCATCACAGTCCCCTGCAGGGCATGTTAAAATGCGGAGAGCTGGACCCCACCCCAGGGTTTCTGACTCAGTCGGTCTGGGATGGGGGCTGGAAATTTGCATTTCCAATGTGTTCCCCGGTGATGCTGATGGTGCTGGTCCAGGGTCAAACTCTGACAAGCTTTGGACTAACGAGTCTTTCTCAGTGGTACCTGGAATGCTGACACCTGTGCATGACTTTCCTATTCTAAAGATCACCTTCTTTTCTAGATGCAGCCAGCAGGACAGAAAATCGAGCTATTCAGTACAAATGTGAAAAGGTTCATAAAATGTCCCTCTCAGGTAGGCAAGGACTGGAGAGGGGAGGCAGGGGAATCTCTCGCTGAATTGGGAGACAGGTGGGGTCACCAAGCGGCCTTTGCTGTGAAGTGGGTATCTTCTGGCTGAGACATTAGCCTCTTTAGAGCCATTTCAGTAGAATCATGGCCCCTTCCACACCTGTGGAGGGCATAGGGGCAAAGCCATATCTCACCTGGCCCCAAGGGTCCCAAATGTGAAGATGGGTTTCTTAAATATGGGCCAAATATGTAATAGGCATGTAATTAATGTTGCTGAATAAATGGATGGGAAAATAACATAAATGAGTAGAATTCCTTTTACTATTTCATGGTAGTCAAAGTTTGGGCTTTCTTGATGAATTGGTAAGCTTTTGTTGCTAGGCTATAAGAACAATGTAACTTATCCTGTTTCCCTCTTTGCTTTGGCTGCCAGGAAGCTTGCGATTATGTTCTTTTTTCATGGAAATATATGTACTTTGCTGGTAGCATGGGCCCACAGGTAGAGAGCAAGAGATGCTGACAATTGCAAATGGAAAATTTTAAAGCATTAACGGACTCCTTCCTAGGCAGGGAACTCACAGGCAGTACAGAGAAGAAAAGCCAGAGAATGGTTTTCGTTTCAATGATGGCATGAATGTTCCAAACTGGCCAAAGGCATTGCTGGGTGATAAAGCCTGATTAAAGGGTACAGATTTCTGGGTCATGGTTCCAACACATTACTTTTCTCTGCAGGAAATGCCATATCTGTTCACCTATAGAAACAGCAACTACCTGCCCAGGTTGCCAGAACCTACTGAGAAGCTTGAGGTATGGAGGGGTTTTCTGCGGTTGACATATATGTAAGTGAACCAGGGGCTGTACACCTTGCTGAGTCTGTAGAAGCTTCCACGGGGTTCTTTACATCCTTTATGGGCAGGCTGGGATGGGCAAAGTATTGGGTAGGTGGTGGCTGTCTCCGTGGTGCTGGAAGCAGGCCTGCCCTCCACCTCTGCCTTGAGAACAGCCTGGCAACCAGCCTCCTGCAGCTTCATGGGAGGTGTTGGGTTCAGCACTGCCTGCTCCCTGTCTGTCCTACTCTAAGGCAAGGTTCTTTGGGCCCTTCCCCAATCTCGGACAAGTCCTTTTTTTTTTTTAATAGAAAACTCCAATCTCCAAGGATTGAGAAAATACTCTGGAGTATAGCAATTTTGCAGTTGTTGTTTTTTTTAGTTGAATTTATTAGCGTGACATTGGCTCACAAAACCATACAAGTTTCAGGTTTCAAGTGCACAGCTCAATAAAACATCATCTGCACACTGCATCCTGCACCCATCACCCCAAAAAAGTCTCCAGCCCCATTTCCTCCCCCTTTGCGGCCCACCACATGGCGACCCCCACCCCCTTTCCATCTGGCTGTCCCCACGCTGTGGTCTGTGTCTCTGGGTTACGTATGAGAGTTTTTTGCTTAATCCTTTCACATTCTTTCATCCAGTGCCCCCTCCCCTCTGACAGCTGCCAGTCTGTTCCCTGTACCCATGCCTCCGTTCCCACTTTGTCAGTTTAAACTCACCTGAGGCCTTAACCTGAAGAGAAAGTCAAGAAAGGGCTGAGAAATATGGTGAGCTCTGAAACCAGACAGTGTGGAGACCAGAAGGCTCAGAAGTGGGCCCACGCCTCAGGGGCCACCTCGCACGCTGGTGCCCTGCTTATCTTGTGACTCTCCCTGGTACTTTCTGTCCAGATTAGATAGGGGACCCTGCACTACTCTGAGGAATCCAGTGACACTTGCAGGTCGATGTCCTCCTCTTCAGAGGACTGGGGACCCATGTGGGTTGCAACAAATTCTGTCTCCTTATCATATGAAAGGGTGGGAGTTAGTCCAGGAGGTGGGGGCAATGCTGGTGACCTGGGCCTGCACCCCAAAGCCCAAGGGACACACTGTGAAAGACTTTTATTTATCAAGTTGTCCCGCACACTTTCTAACTAACACCAAGCAATGAAGATACATCTGAGGGGCAGCATGGCACAGTGAGGTGAGAGAACTGGCTCTGGGTTCAAATCCAGGCTCTTCCACTTACTGGCTCTGTGTCCCTGGACAGATAAGGTGCTGAGCTTCTCTGTGCTTTGTTTATTTTCATATGGGAAGTGGTGAAAGTCATAGTCCTACCTCATGGAGTTGTTATGAAATCATAATAAATAATAGGTGTAAAGCATGTGTAATAGTATCCGGCAGGCTACGAGTTGTGTATCAGTGTCACTGTTATTCCATGATAGAGCGAGTGATCCATTCCTGCAGGATACGGCTATTGATTACCCACCTGCTCTGCGCCACTAGGACTCACGGGCAGCGAGCGCAGGGACTCAGAGCAGGCGCCTAATCATTATTTGTTGAATGAGCTAAACGGGCAGGCGGGAGGAAGGGCGGATATCAGGCATAGGAGGTAAAAACATCAATGAAATACTTTCTTGCCCTGAGGAACTCAGTCTAGTGGAGTGAACCAGCGGTTCTTGCACCATGGATTCATTCCTGTCATTCAAGTTTCCATGGAGTTTTCAGGGAGCACAGAGGCAGGGCAGCTAACTGAGACAGGAGAGAGTTGAAGAAGATGCGCCAAAGAGTGCCCACGACTCAGCCTTGAGGGAGGACTAAGGCCGAGCCAGGTGTACAGGGTGCGGGAAAATGGAAGGGAGGGAAGGGAAAGGGTGAGTAGCGGAAGAGCTTGGGCGCAGACATGGGCCATGGAGAGCACAGAGTCGGGTCAATTCTTATGGTTTAGAATGGCAGGGCCACCTAGGCCATGCTAAGAAAGATGGGCTTTATGTTGATATTAATACAGAATAGAAATGTATTTACTGTTCAACCAACAAATATTCATTGAGCATCTACTGTGTACTGTTCTAGCCTCTGGGGATACAATAGTACCCAAAGCAGACCAAAAATCCCTGCTTTCCCTGAGAATTTGGGCAAGGTAGTGACATAGTTCTGTTATGTTGAGAGAGAGAGAGAGAGAGACCCCTGGATGGTTCAGAAGCTGGGAAGGAAGCCCAGGGGACTGAAGGAGGCAGTGCTGTGAATACTGCAATTTTCCAGGCAGGAAGAAACAGTGGCCTGGACGTAGGCTGAGGCAGAGGGACCAGCGAAGAGGGGATGGGTTTGGGAGCACTTGGAAAGGCTGCTGCGGACACCTGAGTGTCGAATGAGAGGGAGAAATCTTAGAGGAGAGTTAGGTTGCTATATTCAGTGATATTTTCCAAAGTAGAGACCTCGTTCCTCACCCAATTTCACGTGTTCCATCTCTCCTTATTTCTCTGTGTGTCTCATTTCAGTTGGGACTGACCATGCCATTGCAGTGCCCTAACAAGGATCCCTCCGACAAGATCCCCACCTCAGGTACATGTTCGAATCAAGTGATTTTTAAACTCATTTGAGGCCTGAACTCATCAAAGTAAGAGCAACCGTAGGATGGCAGGGCTTTCCACACAGCCTGAGATACACCCAAGAGGCTTGCCAAGGGCAGTGGAGACAGCTCTGTAAGTACAGCAAGCCTTGTTTAATGCGCTTCACAGATGTTGCATGTTTTACAAATTGAAGGCAGTACCCTCCGCCAGCGAAAAAGGTGATGACTCACTTTGCTCTCACTTTCCTGGGAGCAGGAAGCAGAAGGAACTCACTTTATTGTGGTGGTTTGGAACCAAACCCGCAATATCCCCGAGGTCTGCCTGCTTATCTGGAAGTTTATGCCTGTGTTTGATTGCTCTTTAACTGAAATAAGCTATGCGACGATATGATGTGATAAGATAGGCCATGCTATGATGTGATGAGATATGATATGATCAGAAAGCATTTCTGAAGCATGAACTTTATGCCAGGCTAGCATTCCTCCAAAAAGCAAAACTGCCTGGGAGCAGGAAGCAGAAGGAACCAGTCCACACTCCCGGTCAGAGCCCCGTGCGACGCACTCAACCCCCACACAGAGCAGGAAAGCACACTGCCTTAGAAATGTGCCCTTTTTACTGCTGCTGTTTCCGAAATGACTGTTGTTGGGCCATGAAAATGAGAGTCATGGAATGTTCTAGGCAGAGACCTTGCCAAAGAGGGGCTGCCTAAGGGTTGAGCCTTCTCCAGGCCAGCCAGTCTGGGAGTGATGGTTGTGTTCATATGCCCATGGAAACTCTCGGGTGGTTGAGTGGGGGGGCCTGTATGGTGACCCACACAACTCGAAGCATCAGTCCGGGAGCATTTCTGCAGCAGTGAGATGGGGTCCTGCGGGGTGACTCGTTCGTTCGTTGATTGGTTCACTTGTTCATTCATTGATCAGATGCTTGTCGAGTGCCTCCTCTGTGCCCCGTAGGATAGAAAACTAAGTCTGGAGATGCCACAGTGCCTAGCAGGAACCTTTCAGGGACGCAAATCTTTGCAGTCAGGTTGCCTCCCTTTGCTGCATGTTAGTAGAATAAATAAACGCCCTGGCTGTTAGCCTGCCTCTCACACACGTCTCTGCCCTATACACTCGAAGCCACACGACTGGGGAGCTGAAAGTCTCCCCCAGCCTTTGGTGTAGAAGTGGCTCTTGCTCTACATTGCAGAACATAGGTGATCAAGATCTTACACACACACACTCACACTCTCACACACACTGTTAGTCTTTGACTTTCCCCCACACACACCTGGTGACAACACACTCCTATTGGTTAGTTTACCAGCAGGATTTAGCAGCAGAAATGACTAGCTTCATCTGTAGGCCCTCCTATAGCAAAAACTCAAAGGTGTGTGTGTATATATGTGTGTGCACGCCTATGTATAGAGAGAGAAGAGGAGAGGGAGAATTTCAGGGTTTTAATGGCCATAGTCTTCACCGTGAAATAACATCCATCCTATTTTTAATCTTATCATTCTGAAAGAATGATTTATAAAGCATTTCACAATCTGTCTAGATAGTGTCCCTGTCATGTCAATGATAACCAACCAATCGAGGAGAGCATATCTCAACATCTAAAAGTCAAATAAAATGTGAACCTCTTCTTCATGCCCTGACCCTGAAGATTGTTGTTTATTGCACTTGAAGATGTAAGTGCCAGAAATCTCAAGACCTTGAGATCTGAGATACTCTGGTGATAGGGGCTGTTTGAGTAAGCAGATGGATAGATTGAGGCCTGTTCTATCTAACCACGTGGGCGTGGGACCAATACTCCCTCTCACAGGTCAGTGCTGGGCCTGCACATCTGGGTCCTGCCGGAGAAGTGTCATTTAGACAATGGCCACCGCTAACGGGACAGTAATGAGAAACACACTTCGTTACTGTGCGTGATCTATGAGTGGACATTTTAACCATAGTTATGACTGCGGGGGTAGACAGGAAAAGGGCTCAGCACAGGGCCACCTTGTTGCTTTCCCTCAATAATTCTATTTCTGGCGAGGTGATTCCCTCTTCTGGAAATCATGTTTGCAATTCCTAATTGAGATGAAGCATCTGATACATGCTTATAAGAACAGGTTATCTTATCTTTATTTCCCAAATGACTCAGCACCTGGTAAGAGCCCATACATGTTTGCTGAATTAATCTGAAGTACGAGTATTTCTAATTCAGCAAATCAACAATTCTCAGGGTGCAAAAAGACTTTCAAAACCAACTTAGACCAAAGTATCTTCTGTTCAAACCATTTTTCTTGTAAAATAACTGTTTATCTTCAGAGTTATTTACAGAAACCTTCTTTGTTAGTTCCCTTTTCTAGTGTTTCTCTCAAACCAATCCACAGATACACCTAGCTAACCAAAAGTGACATTTCAAAATAGGATACTGTCTTCATCAGCAGGCCAGGGCCCCTGGCAGCCCGGGTGCCTCAGTCTCATTCCATCGGAGCCCACAGGTGATAAACTTCTGCCACTGACCTATGGGGCTTTGGATGAGATACATAGGGTTGATGTAAGTTTTTATAACTAGTTGGTATTTGGTAGCCAATGAATGAATGAATGAATGAATGAATGCAAGCCTCTAATTTTTTCCTCCCAGCCAGTTCACATGTGCAGTTTTCTAGGCGCTATCTCATGGCTCATTGGCTATCTATTGAAGCTGGTTGTCTTAAAGTCAAGCTGCTAATTCCATGCAGATGGGAAAATTTATACTATTTGAAAATAGGGATCTACAAAGCTAATTATATGCCACTGTCACCAACAGTATGAATCAGAACAGTTCATTCATTTAAGCCATTGATTTCTTTCTAAGTTCCTGATATTATTTCTTTTACCCATTTGACTAAGACGAGCTACTCAAAAGCTGATATGAAAAATGCCCCAAGTTACAGCACTGAGTGATCACTACGGGTATCACTTCATTGTGAACCAGCAGTTTAATGTCCACTGTAGACCCTGAAGCTGATTCTGCAGTCACCCCATGCTCAGGGGTCTTGCAACTTAACCTAGCCTGTGACTAGGAAGTCATGGTGCCCCACGGGGAGTACCAGCCTGCTTGTTCCTAGGTGGGACCAGTGTGCTAAGCAAGTTCAAACTCACCCCAAGACGTCTGGATGAATAAGTGTTTCCCTTCCCTGTAGTTTCTATAATTTTAAGCTTGGAAAGCTGTCAAGTCCCTGACACAGAGCCCCTTACTTAGCTGTCATTTACCTTAACACATTTCTTGAGTTCCTACTTTGTGCCAGGCACATATCTTTTGTATAAACTCACACTGAAGCACTTCAAATGCAGAATCAAGGCTCCCTTCTTGTTCTAGCAGTGTACCACCACTGAAGAAGTCTTTACATAAGTTCCTAAAATCAGACGGCTTATGGGTTAGGCTGCCCTAGCTGACAATGAAGAGAACGTTTGTGTTTCAGAATGTCCCCACTTGGTTAAGTTGTTGGGTTACACAAGACAAAACTCCAAAGTGCCAAGTCTTTCTCCTGGGTGTAACTCTTCATGTATAGAGGGTGGCTTCCCCAATTCTCTACTCTTGCCTACCCTTTTCCTCACTACTCATCATATTTCATCATCGTGTGGATGGCCTTCTGATAAGAGGGCCCCTCTGAAGAAATCTTGATCAGTTAATGATGTGTTTATCAATTTCTTTCAAGGTGGTGCACAGTTTGTACCAGATAATGTTTAGCTAATCAGCTCCCACACATTTAATCTTATCTCTAAATAGTTCTTTCCCCAAGGAGAGCAATTGCTAAAGTGCTTTGCTGTGTTTCCAGGCTGTGTCTTTGTCATACATGATGTTATTAACAAAGCTCAAATCAAGGCCTACAGATATTTAAACTCCTCCCATCTAGGCTCAGCTCATTTGGCTTTATTATCTCTTGCAGGAAATCCTTTAGAACCACCAACAGGAGAAACCGCCTCCCCCACCACACATAAATCAATCTCTCTACACATATATACACACACATATGCATGTGTATGGGTGTATTTTCTGTCTGCTACAAATTTTGGAGACAGGAATGGCCAGTGTCAGCTGCCTCTTTATCAAATTATAATGTGCTTTTTATGCAAATATATCCATTTCTTCTACATGTATCAGCCCCAAAGATTTCCCCTAACCTTTACACCCCAGAGTGTTCACAGAATTCACTGTATTACACATTATGGCAAGAAGAATATGGTGACTGACTGTCATCACCAGGAGCTAAAATGAGCCCTCTAAAGTTGAGGGGAAGGGGTCTTTGTTGCCTTTTTTTTTTTTACCCACAGCCTGATTTCTTTGAGAAGAGGTCATTTTAGAGTTCTTAGATTCAGCCCCATTGATGTGTGCTAATGCATGCAGCTGGCTTTGTGATTTGATATTGGTTTTCTAACCACATATCCTTGGGCCCCTCACAGACCTACTAAATCAGAGACTCTGAGGGTGGGGCCCAGCCATCTGTGCTTTAACAAGCTCTCCAGATGATTCTCTGCGTGCTCAGATTTGAGGACCACGAACCTATATATTTTGCATATGCACGTTCACAACTATGTGTGTGTTAGTTTGCATGCTGTCATAGGAAGAGTCAGGGACTTCTCTTTTCCAATGTAGCAGTTCCTCAGTGGAAGCGGGACTTCCCTATCTGCAGAGAGCATGGGAATCAGGTAGACAAGGTGTCTCCATGGAAGGAACAGGACATTGTTTCCACTGGGTGTTAACACCGCTTCCTCCACGGGTATACAATCATGATTTGGATGCTGGTGAGTGAAGTGGGCTATAGTAGTCCAGTTGTGCCAAAAGCATCTTGTTCTCTGTGTGTCACTGCATGTTTGTGGAGTGACTTGGCAAAGAAGAGTTGTCGAGAAGGCTTCCTTGCACACAGTTTCAGTTTATCCAGCTTAAGCAATGGCCCACTGAATGAAGGGCTTCTCTGGGAGTGGCCACTCCCTGATACAAATGTTATATTGGCCTTCTCCCACGGCCTGAGAGCGATTTGACAATTTAGTTCAACATGACACCACTAGAGACGAGGGGAGGCACATCTAAGGAAAGAGGAGCTATGGCAATGTCAGGGTGATTGTGGGACTAGGGGAGTGGGAGATATTGGGGGGAGTGGGAGGAGAGCTTGTGATTTGAGAGGACAGAGCTACATATGGCATAAAGAATCTTAGGTGTGGTCCCTAAAATGCACCTGGACTCACGTTCCTGTGACTAAGGTGAAGGGGCAGATAAATACAGTCCAGGTGTACGCATGCAAGTTATATAGACAGGGAGGGGCAAGCGTAGGTTTGCAGTTGCAAGTATGCGAAACAGAGAGTTTATTCTTGTATTATTATTTATTTATTATTGTATTTTCTATATGAACAACTGTAAACCTATTTTTGCCCCACCCTGTAAAGCAATATTCATGTTCACCAGGCATAAAAGACCTTTGGCCCTAAGCCACTTTTCAACCTTATTTTTGTTAGTCTCCTTCTGTGTCCACCACGTAAGCCAAACTCTACAACTGCTTATGCTTCAGAGACATCACATGCTTTGCGGTTCCACATCGGTCCTTTCTGCTTCCCTCACCGCCCTGGCTCTCCCTCTACCTCATCTCATGCCTGGGGGCTTAGTTCTCCCTGAAGCCTTCTCTGAACCACCCCCACCGCACAGCCAGGGGAGATCATCCCCCGGCTCCAGAACTTCATATCACTGCGTACCTTTCAGGGTGTTTACCAGCCTATCAGTTATTATGAGTAAGGGTGCTTCCCGTTCCTCCCTAGCCTGAGAGGTTCTTGAGAGCATTGGGCATTTCTGATCACTGTGTAGTCCCCAGGGCACCCAGCCACTGCTTGGTGTTGAATATGTTTGAATATGTTTGTCATACGAGTAGACAGCTGTTTAGCCACATCATGTGCTTAAACTCGAGAGATAAAAAATAGAGTCAGGCTGTAGGAAACAGTTTGGTGGTTCTTCGAAAAGCTAAACATAGTATTATGATTACCCAGCAATTCTACTCCTAGGTATATACTCAAAATAATGGCAAACAGGCATTCAGATACATACTTGTACATGAATGTTCATAGCAGCACTACTCACAATCACCAAAAGGTGGAAACAACCCAAACGTCCTTCAAGTAATGAACGGATGGGTAAACAAAATGTGGTATGCCCATACAATAGAATATTATTCAGCCATAAAAAAAGAGTGAAGTACTGACACGTGCTGTAACATGGGCAAACCTTGAAAACATTATGCAAAGTGGAAGAAGCCGACACAAAAAGCTACATGTTGTGTGATACCATGTGTGTGAGGTGTCAGAACAGGCAAGTCTGTAGACAAAGCAGGTTACTGGTCGCCAGGAGCTGCGGTGGAGGGAGAAATGGGGAGAGACTGCTTAATGGGTACAGGTCTGCTTTGAGAGTAATGAAAATGTTTGGGAACTAGATAGAGGTGGTGGTTGTGCAACATTGTGAAAACAGCACTAAATGCCACTGAATTGTTGACTTTAAAATGGTTAAGTTTATGCTATATGAACTTCACCTTGATTTTTAAAAATAGTGGTATGAAAGCATTTCCCTTTTCACTGTAGAGAAACTGAGCTAACTTTTTAGCAAGATGATACAATACTTTATCCCAAATATGACCAGATCCGAGACTAGATTAAGTATTGCTTGTGAGTCGGCCACAATTCCTTCCCTAGCCCCGCATACGTTATCCGGGGTTATTAAATGCCCTGAGGATGACTGCTCACCTGTGGCCTCAGGTTCCCTCAAGGCCAGCAGCCTCCCCTCTGAAAGCTGGCCCACCTTCCAGCTCCAAGCCCTGGGCCAGGTGCCCCAGGAAGGAGACCAGCGGTCAGGCTCACGGCTGCTGTCGCTGAATCTTATGATGAGGACAGGCTCTTAGTATCTCTGTCCAAGCTGAATTGCTGTTACAAATGGACTTTCCATCCGTTTTCCTGGGAGATCTTCATTTGTGTTCAGAGGAGATAGGAACCGGATCTTCTATTCACTCCCGCTTGGTTCTCAGTTCACAGGCTGAGGGTGGCAGACATCAAAGTGGTCGCAGCCCTGGGCGACTCCATCACGGTGAGTTACCCTGATTGTGGAGGGAGGAGGCAGGAGGGGGGCTGATCTGGGTTCATGAGCAAGCCTGGGGGGAGAAGGCCTCACTCCTAGCTCTTCAGTGCTGCCATCTCCGGTCCCAATCACCAGTCCCTCCACAA